GAACAAGGGACAAAATTGGTCGTTTAAGAAGAACACAAATAAACGAGTGGATACAAGCAGGAGACTGCCACTTCACAAGCACTGATGATGTCATCTCGGCTGGTGATGAAACGTTTGCAAAAAAATTACCAAGCTCGGCAAACAGGTGAGATTGAATACTTATAACATACCCTGTTTATTCGCCCAATGCTCTTGACTGAAAATCTCTCCGTGTTCCACCATGATATTCTTCATTTAAAACAATCAAAGTGATTCTGACTACTCAAGAGTAGTCAAATTGGCAGTTTGAACATGCTTTGTGTTTCAATCGGTTTAAGTAAACTAAGACCGTTTTCAACTCTTCCTTTTAGATAAATTGTCCCTTCGTGCCGGTTCTATCGGGTCAATCGTAATGAAAGACGTTCTAGTACCGGAGGAAAATGTGCTGCCCGGTTTTGTCGGATTGAAAGTAATTCAAGTCGTCGACAATAATAACGAAAAACTGTTTACGCGTAGTATCTAACGTTAAGACGTGACTAAAAAAGACGGTCGTTTTTTGATGCATATTCGGTGACACCGCCATGGTGCTTCCTCAGGACGAGCATTGGATTTTATATTTTCCACTTACCATCCATTACATCAACCCCAGATGTTTTTTTCGTGGAATAGAACGACGAAGGGTTTTCCCCTATTATTTGACCTACGACGAGGCTTTGATGCAGGATAGATAGCATGAAAACTGCTTCATATTTTTTTACATTAATAACAAACGGGTAGCTACTTTTTGAACAGTTCTGTAAACTCTTAATCCTACCGGAAAGACAGCTCATTTGGTTTGTACAATCTCCAGAGTGGTCATTCGTTCAGTGTGTTTGCTAGCTTTGTATTTACGTGGAATTCTTTTTTCCATGTTTTGATACTTGTAAGTCACTCTCCTGCAGTAATAAATAGTGCTACATCTCCTTTGAACCGGCATCTACGCTTCAGCTTCCACAAGCCAGTTTCCATGTGTAATAGCAAGTTTCATATGTTTAACACCAATCTTTACACCTACTTTGTTTTGTTGTTCATACCGAATTCGCTTGAGTTTTTCGGCATGTGCATGATCAATGGGTTGGTAAACCCCTTCGTTCTTGACACCAAAAGCTTCGAAATGGTTTATCATCTTCTAGAACAAATTTTAGTAAGAGTATCAGGCTTTCACAAAGTTCTGTTTTTTGTTAGGATGAGCTATAACTTAGACATCAGTGGTCGTAACTGCTAAGAGCTGCAGATCTAATCATACCTAAAAGGTCAATGGGTAGGCCAGACGAAGCTCAGTTTCACAAGGCCAGCTGGTTGTCACTTCTTGACTTCCCTTGTCTATCCACTGTCGCCCCTGGAGAGGTCACTCCCGCAAACAAACACTGGGAGGGGCAGTCAAAATCCCCCGCTATGTGGACGTAGGAGTGGGGTACCTGGGGCTTCCTNCCGCCCGCCCAAGCTGGGCAGCCCCCAGCCAATAAGGTGCTGTCCCGTCCACGCTCCGCTTGTCTCACTGGTCGCATGAGACTAAGGGCTGATCCCGAAAAGCGGACCGAAAATCAACGCACCAGCGAACAATACATACCCAGAACTGGAAACGGAAAGTATTGCGTGACAGGTCTCCAGAAGCTCCCACATAGGTGCTNGCTTCGTTCACTCTCCCGTGTCGGATTTACGCCCCACTACCTTGTGGGTCAGACTTTTGAGTCAAAGTCTCCGGTTAGGGTTCCTAAAAAAAACCTTTCGTCGCTATAGGCTACCGCGAAGTATATTGTGACCCAAAGTCTTAGGTACTCATTTGGAAAACCCTCTTTTTCATCTGTTTAGTTCTTCCTCTCACTCCCATATCCTACGAGATGCCTCCTGCTTGGCGGTTCTCATAAATCTAATAATCAGATTCTCAAGCTGCCAAAGTCAAATATTGAGTTTCACTAGTACAAATACAGCTAGTAGTTAAAAATTAGAGTTCTGTGTAGTTTGAATCAAACACTGTTGGTTTATTGATTGATTGTGTCAACCACAACAACCAGGCTGTCTCCAGAACATATCATTGCCATCTGCGCTGCGCCAACGCTTAGATGCACTCGTGCGCTTGTGCACCGGAGCTGGGTTCAAGCTACACAGAAATCTACGTTAATGACCTGCTTGCTCGGCAGTAGTGAAACTGGGAACTCGTATTGCACAGTTCGAGTATCTGGTGTACGAAAACTAACTGTTGTCCAGCACGAAACGTTATTGCTGGGATTATTGGATGGGTGGGCAATCTTCGGGTACGCACAAAGTTGACGCTTATTGCAATCGACTGGCCATGTCAAGTCCGGATACGCCGCATCATCACACTGATCGAGCGCAATCACCTCAGCATCCCAAGGCATTGGAATACGATTTGTTGGCTCAAATTCTTCATGATTCACTCAATCTCACTAATTCCGATCTGTTGGGGAAGCGAAGCTGTAATCTTTGGTCCTTTCTGGGAAATGTCCGAGCAACACAGCAATTTCTTTTCTATTTTATTGGTAAATTTCCATTTGGGACAGTGAAACAGTGACAAACGCAGTCTACTGTTTTTCGTTTCATTATGTGTGATTTTGTAACTTTGAATCCACACATATGGCGTAAATGTTGAAATTTCACCATCCGGGTACATAAGGCTACTACTGACTTGGCTTGACTTGAATTCCTGCTGAAATTCGAACACCATTCTCTCGCTTCTCAAGCTGCTGTCATGCATAGTAAATTTGATTTATTAAAATCCGTGGTGGAAATGAATCTACATGAATTATTTTAACTGTTTTGTAAAATATCCATCGCATTATATCGTCTTATATGGATTCATTTACTTGTCTTTGTTCTTGAAGGCTCCGTTGTCATGTTTAAACAATGCCCGTTATGGAATCGCATGGGGCGCATTGGGTGCTGCTGAGTTCTGTTTCGAAACGGCTCGTCAATACACACTGAACAGGTATCAGTTCGGTCGTCCTTTGGCGGCTAACCAACTGATTCAAAAGAAGCTAACCGACATGATGGCAGAGATCGCTTTAGGGTTTCAGGCTTGCGTTCAGGTCAGTCAAGTGGTTTATCTTTATCAGCTTGTCTTTGTGTGTATTGGAATAATTGGCAACCGTTTCCGGATATACCAATTCCAGCCAATTTCTTTCATCATCAGGCATAGCTATTTTTTAGTCTGTTTATCATAATATTTTTTTAAAACAAAATCAGAGGAAAGAAGTAGTTAATTCCTCATTCAGAACATAGGTCAAATCTGTTCTTCCTCTTTTACTTCGGTAACTCGACTGGAACTGGAATGCTTGACAAAAATCACACAACAACTTCACCTACCCATCAAAACGTGAATGTTATAAACAAAACATCAAGAAGCATCAGCATCGGCTGAATTGTGAAAAATCGCTCATCTGATCGCACGCATTTAGTTTGAATGCAAACGTGACGCTGGTTTTAATTATTTTGTAATACGATCTAATATATCTGACTGTGAAAAAATATTCCATTTCATGGTCACCAGTCTGACCGAAGTATGATGACTAAATCAGTTGACACTTAAACTGATAACTTCGGGGAATAAAGTCAGTCAAAATGAAAGACAAATTTTGGGTGGTGGTGCTCAGGCAGTCTCGATCGTAATCATATTACCGTTCGTTTGTTCAGATCCTAACATCCCCACCGCCGCCCGACTTTCCTACGTCTGCGATCCCGTCGCATCACACTGTTTATCTGCTTCCCCTTCGTGAAATAGGATTACCGATTCCATGAAAACCAAAGGTCTCTCTTTCTCAGCATGTATCCCAAAGACAACAGGCACAACAACCATTGCAACGAAGAAGACGCATCCGGTGAAGAGAAACGAATATAAACCAAGTCCCTCGGATCTAGCCATCCTCTTACATGATACAGTCAGTGAATTTTCGACCGCTATGGAAAACGACGCACTTTCAACAGAACATTGGTCAACGATCCACCTGTTCTTTTGTGTGATAACCTTACTGGGTAGGTTCGGTCGTTTACGGCGATACCCGGATCACTTCATTTTTTCCCAACGACGAAATTATCATCAGCTGCAGACCGTATGCTCGAGTTGTTGCCCTTCTCTGTTTCGGCTTACCTTGATAGTTATCCCGTAGGGGAATTTCGTTGTCCGTGTTAGTGTGTCTCGTTTCTAGGTCTCTGTTCTTATTCCGATTCGTTGTTCCCCCTTTCATGCATCCGTCCTCTTTCATCGTACGATGTAGCTCAGTTCCGAATAGAATAACGCACACAGATCAAATAGTTCAGATGCAGTTCACTTTGCACACGAATTATAATGGCGACATCATTGCTCTTACCGTGTTCGTGCATACAACGTTTTGTTTTTGTCTGTGCACCGTGTGCACGATTTCGGCCTCACGTCCTGTGAGTCGAGAATGGACTTTGGGGTTTCTGTATTGTTCTTACTTGCTCGGATTACTTCGTAACCCTACCTTGCACGTTGAATTGTCAAATCTTTTTAATCGTGTCTGTTGCTCGAAAGTCATGTCTCCTCAGGCTCGGTATATCTTTTGAGTCTGTTATTGCTTGTCTCACCAGTTCGATCCGTATGGAAAACAACCTGAAATTTCAACACGAAGTTTTTTCACGTTGCGTGTTATGCTGCTGGCAAAGAATTTCTATATGAGATGACTGCGGCTGTTTGTGAATTTGTTCCAGGTACTTCTGTGCGGTTTAACACTATGCCCTTCGGAGAATTTCCCATGTTTTGCACCTGTTGGCCGATTGTTCTCTGGTGATCAAAGCTGGAGTAGCGGTACTTTGTTCAAGCATTGTCTCTTTTTCTATCTCCGAAACGGTAATAGTCTGAATTTCCCTGTTGATTGACTTGATAAAGTCCTTATATTCCCACAACCTCGTTTACTATCTACTATCTCCTTTCATCATCCCCTTTGATTACCTCCACCTAGGTTGGTCGGCTCTACGATCAGAACGAAGCTAACGCAGAAATGATCAGTTTGATCAAACGAAACTCCTGCCTCAAAGCTCTGAATGCTGCTCGAGTCGCCCGGGATATGCTAGGAGCAAATGGAATGCGAGCGGATTGTCACGTGATTCGACACATGATCTGATTCTGGGCAAAGCAATTACAGGCTTGCCAGCCTTTTCAGCGGATACGAAATGATGCACCTGAACTTTTCTATAATTTTCTATGAAATACTCCTCCCTTTATTCTTCTTTCGAACGTTGACAGACAGCATTTCTCTTGATCTGCCCTCTATTTATGTTCATTTTTCCTTGTCCATACTTTGCTTTTTTGTTGTTATTCCGTCATTTTGTAGAAAATTAAATAATAAAAAGCATTTACCTGTTTTAATTTCGGGGGATACATTTTGCCTTTCTATCGTCATGAAACAATTCAAGGCATTTTAAGGCCAGATGCAAGTGTAAATATACTAATCTTCATCCATTCTAATGAGTTTTTAGTCGACTGTGATGAACAAATGTCCGTTATGTAAGGACACGAACAAATTGTAACGATTATTGGACTTAGCTTTACATGCTTTGATTCCCTTGTACTTCTCATAACGTTTAGCGCATTTTTCTAACGGTTATTTCTGATTCGAACAACGACTGCGCTGTTGATTCACGGGAATTTACTCAATCTGAGCCAGTAGGTAAGAGCTTCATTTATTTTTTCTACCGGAAAAGGTTCTGATCGTGAAGATCAGTTCTGTAGTGTCGTCATCAGTATTGGTTTTCCCCAACTTCAGCTGACTCCTTTTATGTGCATTTCTTCGTGTATGTATTGTAGGGGAGCCTTTGTGGTCATTATTATGCAACAAAACAAATATGCACAACTTCTTTCCAAGGCGAAAGTGAGCCTTGTTTTAACCCGGTATTTGTAAACATTCCAAAACGCAACAGGAGCATCTGACTAGGCAATAGAGTGAATGATGGTGGATTGTTCGTTACAGTTCATTTTCCCTGCACACCGAAGGTGGGTCTTGTTGGGATCACGATTTCCGTCAGTCGAAGACTTGGTGTGGTTTGTAAAATGTTGAGCGGATGATTTATTTGGATACGTCGTGTTTCACTCCCATCACGTTTCACTGAGTTTGTGTGTCTGATGTAGATGGTGCTTTCCGACAACAAGCACTGATGTGAGGATAATGGCAAGGAAAGCTAACGAATAGCTCGATCACTTCGCATATTGTATACTGCCCACGAACACGGTTTTGGTGTGAATCTCGCAGGTTTGTGCTAACGAGCGCAAGTAAATTTATGTACCAGGCATCGTTGGGTAGTTTGATTCTGTTCGAACCTCGACCGTTTGAAGTCTAGATTTTTGAGTATAGTTCCATTTTCGACAGAAACGCACCACAGTGGTGACAGTAATGAAGCATCAACATGTACTGCTACTTCAACCAGTATAGTTGGCTCACTCTCTGTCAGGTTCTAGAACGATGGCGTATCCTGCTCAATAAAATACAGTGCTGTATTGAAGCAGCAGGAAACCTGCTTCATATTTTCAATTTCGATGCCGTCACCGACTCGTTTCATCAGTTACAACGACGTTCTCTTGTTCGAATACGGAACTGTAGATTTTCAAACTCGTACGAAAATGATGCGCGTTTAACGCGGATATCATGTGCGATCATTAGACGGGGAATATGAGTTAATGGTATTATTATTATTGGTTAGGGGTACGATGATCTTTTCCTTTATGAACTGGCTTCAGACTGTATTGTCATCACGACGAGACTTCACCTTGACGTGATGTGATGGCTTGTGCTCATCTCTGACCCAACGAGCTACACAGGATGGCTTTTGTCAAGCCGCAGATCTAATCATGCCTGAAAGGTCGAAGGGTAGAGGTCAGACGAATTCCAGTTTCCTGGTCCACCAGGTTGGGGGTTCGACTAGAATTTGAATGTCAGTCGGTAGTAAATGTTGGAGGAGTAATTGATCCAAGTAAATGGGCCCCCACTTCGCTTCACCCGTTGCCTTGTGGTCAGGTTCTTGTCAGAACTAAAGGCTTTGGACGAGAACCCTAATTGTTTTCCTGCTTGGTGGCTGGACACCCTAACAGTACCCGTCCATCAAACCCCAATGCATATGCATTACGAGTTTGGCAGCGATCAGTGAAGTTCGCCTCACTGTATTTCGCTGTACGATGATGATGATGATTACTACTCTATGATGTTGAATTGCTCTCTTTGGTTCTGTTCGAACTGTTGATCCATGATACGTGGACCATTAATTACACAGTATCAATGCTATACGAAGAAGAACATTTTGTTCTTCATCGAAAATTTGTTTCTGAGATATCATGGGGATTGATAAGATCTAGCTTCAGATGTGATAAATTCAACGCGCGTGTACTCAGTGAGCGTAGTCTTAACCATGTGCCGTGAAAAAAGTATCAATAGAGCGGTGTGGGTCATCACATTGTCTCGGAGGTACTGTGTTCAAATTCCATCATCGGTCATCTGTTGCATTTCTGTGCGTTCACGGACAGCCTTAGTCCCCTAGTCCTGCGAGGCCATTGAATCCGGGACGCGGAACAGGCTGTCTCACCGCAGTTTGTTTTTGTAATCGGCAGAAATGCCCACACGCATGCATAGGATGACCATTTTCCTGTATCGAAAGCAACGAAGAATCATAAATCCTTTGGAGGAGAATCTGTCTCGTAGACTCAGAAAAACCTGAAATGGAATGGAGTTATTTTCCTGTTCGTCAGAATTCACTTTTGATTTAACAATACAAAACTGCCATGCATATTGTCTGATACGTACACCCATATTATTCGTTGTTTCCAGGGATCACAATGTGTGGAATCGCACTGTTGTCAGCCTCTACTGAAAGCGCCCCGGTAAGTTGTCTTTTACACCAAATGTTTCCGTATATATCACTTCGGATAATCAGCTGGTTCGATGAGCACGGAATAGGGGGGGGGGGGGGGNCACAACTTCTTCGTTTGTGTTGCATTTATGGCGCTATCGTAAGAATTTGCAGTCACCCTGTTTGTGGAAGTGTAGAAAGGCAAGTGAAATTCGAAACCTTCGGTTTTATGAGCGTGTGTTATATAGGAGAACTGAGGATAGTCAAATAATTAAGTTTCTGTTGGAACGGTAATTTAATACCTCAGGGGAGAAAACAACGGATCTGTCCATCCTCTAGTAGATCTAGTCATAGTTGTAGACGAGCACTTGTGCACAAAAGTCAGTTATAAACGCAGCCCATAAGTATGCACCATTCTGTTCCACTCGTCTAAGGATCCGCTTGAAGCCTCACTCATCGGAAACTATACATTGTATTTAGGTAACTCACCCCGCACTCCATTTGCGGTTTTTATCTTTCGACTGTGCGTCGGTTCACTGCACATATCAAGTAGGATAGCAAATACGAATAACATAAGGAAATAGAACACTGCAAACTTTGTCTAGTTACGACACCTCAGATCACGACGTTTTCCAATGGATCTACCTGAACCTGCAAACTGAGCGCTGTCAAAGTGCGAACGAGTGAGTTGGCATCACAGCGCACGCGTACATGTGAGTTATGGTGACACCTGGGTAGAGACTAGATCAAACGAATTTGCATGACTACGGTGCAACAGGACCGAAGAAAGACAAGTTTCACGATATATTAACATTCAATCCATTTTGTTAATCGTTGACGTATACACAAGATGGCGTGTATGCAAGTGCATCAGGGATTCTCGTACACTAAGTAATCACCTTAAGGGCTGCCCTAGTTTCCTGCTCAGTGGCTGAACACCATAGCAGTATGCGTCCATCAAACCCCAGTGTATATGCATTGCGAAATTGGTAGCGATCAGTGAGGTTTGCTTCTCTGATGATGATGACTCCAGCGTGTAGAATGTGAACCATAGGCCGATTGTACCGACCCAGACGTAAACTGTACGACGCCAGGAATACGAGCCCACGGTTGATAAATGCCTGGACTACCAACGAGCTGTTTTTGTACATATTATGTAAACACCATAATGTCTTCCATTTAATGAACTGCTACATCTGAGGCCTTTTCCTTGTGTCTCGGCTTTATCGAATTTTGTCATGGCACCACTACTACCATCACATTTAGAGGGGAAAAGTGATGGAAATCTGATGAATTTAAATTCTCATTGAAACCTGGTTTCTTCATCCATGAAATCGGAACGGTTCCCGTATCAGTACTTTATGAAGTACTGACTCTGATGTACGCTAACATTTTATCGAAGCAAAGTTAGCCTCATTTTCAAATTATTGTGGGTCCATCCCTGAGGTGTCGTAAATAAGCAGGTCATATTACAGATAACATACATTTTGATTTTCATATTAGTTCCGCTGGTGAAGATACCAAATTTGTATAAATTCTAGTTAATTCCAAATCGTCCGTGTTTATTATCGTTTTGTCTTGTTCCCATCTTAGAAATCTGTAACTTCGGATATTCCATATTGTGGTGTAAACCTTTCGGCACTTCATCGACGAGGACCAGATATCGTCTCTCACCAGTCTATTGATGTTCCTGGTTTGAGGACTCCTTGGATTGGCATCGGTTGTGTGCTATCCCTCCGAGGCCATCTTAGTTTGGCTAGTCAGCCAATTTCCGTAGATTCCGATCGAGCACAATCTTGCTTACTTTGGAACGGGGAAGTGTTTCATTGCTCGTCTGATGAACAGAATCTCGCATTTCTAGATCCTGCAAACAATGACGGTCGATTGTTATTGTCTTGGCTCTCGCAAGGTTTGACGGCGGAGAATGTGTACAAAAAATTGGTCACCTTACAAGGTCCGTTCGCTTTCATTCTCGTTGACGTAAGTCCAATTGGAAACTGCGGTTCACTAATGGTTTCACCCATAACCAACTCTCTGAAGTTGGTGTTAAAATGAATTATGTTAGCTGCTCGACGCATGCTTGCGACTTTGTACTGTCTGAGCAATGTTCAAGTCCCAGATTCCGTCCTCAGTTGGGTTGGTGAATTCACCATGTTGATGAGATTAGACAAGGTTGTAACGACTGTGCATTGTTTTTATCAGATTTTAAGTTCTCACCTTTGCCATGTCATCCTCTAACCGAAATATTTCTTTCCATAATGCATTGTTGTGGGAGTAATCTCAGTCCCGTTTGGAATAGGTACGCTTGCTTATCGTCGATTTGACGAGGACCCTGTTTATTCATCCGCCGTACCAGTCACACTCAGTTGACCTGCATGGACTCTATCCGTTCTTCTGCTTGGTGTTTTCTTGTGACATTTCTCCCGCAGAATACGAATGCTGTTTGTTGTGCAAAGTTCATCCCGAGGTGTTTTTCCATCGATAGAATTTGTATGTTTGGTGTACCTGGATTACTGTGATGTGATAAACAGTGTTAATACGTTTTGCTTGGGTTATTTGAGTTTGTTTCGCTTGGTACGGATCGATGCTTTGAAGCCTTTCTAGCTTTCAGTGCATTGTTTCTTCTTAGCATTCAGGGCTATCGTTGCTATTGCTTTATGCGGTTCAATCAATCTTTGAAAGCTGACCGTTTATAGCCATTTTGTCTCTAATGTCGTTTCGGTTTTTACTTTGGAGTTGGTTTCTCGTTTCTATGACCCCGACTTGGGATGCGATTAGCCTTGTCAGGTTTTTCTATTCGACAGTCTCATTCTGTTTGCAGCATCCATCCCTTTTTCTTCCTGATTCTTCTTATTTTACAGAATACTGGACAAGTATACTTTGGTCGCGACCGTCTGGGACGTCGATCATTAGTCGGGAGATTTGATGATGAGGTGCCTCGATCTAAAAGCGATTCACTTCTTTTGGACTGCATCTCCAGTGTAGTTTTGCCCACGCTCTCCGAATATCAGGTAGGTTATTGCTTGGAGCTAATACTGATTTGCTTCACGCGACTACTCATGAGTAGTGAGAATTGTGTTGCTTTTTCTTTACCGTTACTGTATACGTCGTCTGAAATGAGGCACATATTCGCTCACCTACGACAATTATTGATTGATTCTAAGAGTCCGCTTGCCTTCTATTATTTTTCTTGTTTATATGGTCCACTCATTTCTCTTACACAATAACGACTTTCTTGGGTTTAAACATTATCCAAAACTTTGTTCTTTTTACCACCGCGACAGAAGGAACAAACATGGATTGAGATCCCTGCTGTTGGGCTTTTTGCCGGTCGAACCGTCATGAATATCTACGGAAAGCCTGTTATTGATCGACTTCAATTATATCCGTGGTCACCAGAGCACTTAACTTCATTGGAAGCGTGCACCAAATTTCATCCGGATCAAGTTATCTCGATCGAACCATGCGCGTCACAAGGAGAACCGGTTTCCGCAATGTTGGATTTAAGTCCCACAGAAGCTCAACGGGGTCTAATTGCCGAGCTTGAGTCCGCTGTATCAAGACGCGTTCTTCTCGCTCCACCTGTTTGTCGGGATTGTACTGCAAAATTTGAACAATCTCTTTGTGTTCATGCTCGGTTTGGAATTCTATTCTCCGGCGGTCTCGACTCTACCGTGCTGGCTGTCTTACTTGATCGGTATCTGTTCCTATTGTTCCCGTTACCCTTATTTCCAGCTTTATAGAATCACTATTATACCACAAATGCTATCTTATATTATCCGTTTTTGACACCATAGATCGCTTAGAATCTTCGAGGAACTCAAAACCATTCAACCTTGCCTGTTGCTCAATGAAAACTATCTCGCTCGGTTATTTGGAATAAATTCAATTGGCATGTCTTGAGCCTCCGGGAGTTGGTACGTTTGCACCAGCAGCAGTCCATAAAATCCATAAACTGGCCAAATAGCAACTCTTTGCCTTCCAACTATAGTGTAACCAAAACATGTAGAAGGCGTTTTGGTCCTAGTGGAAGACTCTATTGAACTGTGAATGCAGCTCATGTGATCGGTTTGTTGCGAAAGATCTTACAACCACATTTATCGCCCACACATGCATGAAAGACGACCCTGTTAGATTGACCTCAGAGCGAAAAAGGAAATATTTAATCACCAACTCGCTCATACGAACACACTGACGTTTTATTCCTTCAAGAAAAACCAATCACGTTCCATCCGTTATCTATGTGCACTGTTACCAACTAACTGTTTGTATGTCAGATTGTATTGACTTAAAATGTTCTTCCAATAGGATCGAAAAATCCTCGGTACTACGACAGGCTTTGGTTATATTATCTCTTTCCGATTTCCATAACATGGAAATTCTTTATTTCACATTATCAGATTAATCGTAGTACGAAAGTAGTGATATAGTGCATATGTGATTCGATGCTCTTTTTCTCAGTCAAGCGATTAGCACGGTTAATCTGTAAATAGTGGATTGTTGGGTGTGGTATAGCAACATGGAATGCTGAGTATGGTTTCCAATATAAGGCACCTATTCCGCGAGAGCATTGCTGTGCGTAACCCACATGTGTCCGTCCAGCTGACAAAATAATTAACCGTCATCTGTGCGTAGGATGGTGATACAAGAGCTGCAGTTGCAATTGTCTGCGTCGTTCTCCCATGTTTCTCCTGATGATTGAGGTCGAGTACATCGTATTCTTCCGCCCAGGGCAAATGATGAAACTATCAAGGGTTTACTTTTCTAAGTTAAACGTTTTCTAACCATTCTCGTTCAATACCATTGACGTCACATTTACAAACCAGTGGAACAGTGCACACTGGTTAGTAGGAGTCGAAATGTTAAGTTTACTTGACCCATCTTCAGAGAAAGTCCACGTATTACAAGTGCGATGACTGTTCATGTTCACGCAGTTTTTCAGTTAATTAAACTAATTCCTCTTTGATTTTCACAAGAGGACCTGTCGCCCTTCTTGTAAATCG